ATCAAGAATTGACGAGATTGTTATATAATCTTCGGAGCGCTGTAAAAAAATCCGGGTAAACGGTACCCACTGGCGTTTCTTCAAAAATCATCTGAAACAAAAAAACCAAAATGATTATTAAATTAGATACTATAATCTAGTACTTATTATAGCCGATTTTGAAAATACCGATTTATGACAAAATGGCGGACGTTTTAACATAACAGCGATTTTTCGACCAAAAATTAGTTATTATTTTGCCTATAAAACAAAAACTAAGCAACGAAAAAAAAACAATCCTATGACAAGTACTAGATATTGATGTATAGAATAACCACAAAATTCAAGGCAATCGGTTCATTGGTTTTCGAGAAATTTTGGGTACCGATTTGAAAAACGTGCTTTCGAGAAAAACGCGTTTGAAAATTTAGGAATGAATAAATCATGAAATTTGTCAACTTACATGGAATCATCGATACCAGGCGCATAGTGTAAGTCTTCTGTAGTGTTTGTCATGACATAGTGTAAGTCTGTGTAGTGTCTTCTACGGTCGACGGAATGTTCATGTCTTCTAAATTTTGGTTTTACACAATAGAATCGTAAAACAGGTCTAGACACGCAAAAGGGTTCTCTTCGAAGGGTCGCTTGCCGCTACCTGCCTCTCGGCTCGGCGCGCTCTCAACACGGAGACGGCTGTAATTTCGTCATTTATCGATATATTGACTTGCAATTTTCACCAGATATTCTTGAGATCTCAAGCTTCAAGAAAATGCAAAGAAAAAAATCGATTTTTTTCGACCATGCTAGGTGTATATCTCCCCTTAAACGTTTAAGATTTATCAATATTTATGCGTTAATGCAAAATATAATTGTTAGAATTAACAAAAACTTCTTAAATAGAGCGTCTGTGCTGCGGCAGAAATCCCGCTCGCTAAAAATGCCATATATCCTAAATAGATGGGATATATAAAACATCTAATTAAACAAACAATACAGGAGAAAAGCACTTGTATTTTACTATATACAACATGCTTTACTGTTCCTCTACACATATGTATTGCAAAATAACCACTAAGTCTTTTACACGCTCTATAGTAATCATTTTATGTAGATTATAAATTATGATGGCACTACGCTATTACAGTAAAAAATCGATTTAACTCGCAATAATTTCATTAATATTAACAGTAAAAAACTGAATATATACTAATAGTCCTATGGTACACGTGTGATATTGCCTATTTTTCCGATACCTGAACACACATTGTTGTGCTACAGTGATTTCCGTGATTTCCAACAATAGAGGAAAGGCTCCTATTATAAGATATTGTGTTTACTTTAAGTAAATGCTATAAGTTTATAGGCAGAATTTAAAAAAATAATAGGTCATTTTGAAGAGAATTTAATAAGAGAATTTAATACTAACTGAACATAATATAATACTAATATACCATTAAGTCATGTAACAAAGTAATTGACGGAAAATTATCCACATTCCTTCTATTTTTTCTGACTTCTGCGGCGTATATCCTCGCGCGGCGTTGCGTCGCAGTCGTTACAATTTATTTTGTAAACCATGTTAGATTTGCAACTTGGAATCAATGGATCCTTGTGTACTTTAATATATTTTTGTAATTTATTGGTGCTAAAGAAAGATATTCTGATATCGTTCTTATTAAATTGTTTGAATTTTTCAGATAAATTAGGAATGAAAGGTATCGTAAATCACAATGGAATGATCGGTGGATCAATATTATAATATAATCATTGTCTATAACTTGAAACATTGTCTATAAATCTTTTAAATCCCCCCAAATTACGCGCCGAACAATCGTCGGTTTAGAAACGCAACTCTAATTGGTGACCTAAGACACATGTTACTGCTCACGTAAATATAAACGATAATATAAGTTTTAATGTGGTTTAAGGGGAATGGAAAAAATGGGGGATGGAAGTAATACATACATTATTATGGATAAAATATTGCGAAAAATATTACTACGTCGCCATCAGAGGTCTATAGATATTCGCAAATTCTCGCAAGAACTTTATTAATACGCGTATATCGCTTTATATAGAATCTCGATTGAATAACTCTTGCAGGCGTATAAGGTAGGTTTCCACTACTGCCTTACTGACGAGTCCAGTAGTGGAAGCTATGGGACGAAACGCCATATTTAATTAATATTCTTTGCAATATATTAAATTAATTTTCCTTCGTTTACTGATGATGGTCATATTAAAGGCCGAATCGTTTACTAATAATAATAAAAATTTCGTTTTAATATTCTACGAAATACATTATATTTTCGCTAAATCTATCCAGCATCGTGGTATATGTTCATTTTTAATTCCTTTGTTTATTACTAAACCACATTAAAAACTTATATTATCGTTTAAAAAAAAATCATACGCCTATGGAATCTCCTTTATAGGCGTAAAATATGATTTTAAAAGAAAGAAGATCCCATAGGCGTAAAATATGATTTCTTTTGAAATTTCAAAAGAAATCATATTTTACGCCTATGGGATCTCCTTTGTCACCCATCGTTGCAAATATGGTGATGCAAAGATTAGAGAGAGACGCACTGATGTTGTTCAACAATAACGTATCTACTATTTTACTATCATTATATATGGATGATTTATGCGCGGCTGTTCCTACACCCCAATATTGATGCATTTCAAACGGCCTTTAACTCTTTCCATCCAATACTTCAATTTACTTTAGAAATAGATGGAGATGTATTAAATTTTGTCTTGATATCACAATGGTCATTAAAGAAAGCTTTTAGGGTGAAAAACACTATTTGAGACTATATTTTAAGAATAAAAATGGACTATGAATACAAGCTATAACATAAAATATAAATATATGTTTAAAATGTATCTTTTTTGTATTAAACATGATTTTTTGTAAAGCTGTTTAAAACGTATATAAAACATTAAAAAAACATGTATTTAAAAAAAAAACTGAACGTTTTTTTTTTTTTTTAAACCATTTTGACCAACCCTACTTTCCATCTCCTTCTCTTTCTTTCTCGGGAGCTCCCTGTGAGCTCATAAAATGTTTGTGACCTTCATTTAAGCTTAAAAATGAACTTCTATGTCCGCATTTGTGAATTCCCTGGGAGCTTTATCATATTTTGGTTCGCAGGGAGCTCTTTTTGAGCTCTCAAGGAGATTGTAAAATTTTTTGTGTAAGCTTTATTTCAATTTCAAAAGAACTCGTTTGGAGCTCTCTCTACTCGCGGAGATCTTTCTTTATCGAATTGTGTAAGCTCCACGGGAGTTCAGCATTATGAACTCCCTGGGAGTTCATTTTGTCGAATTTTGTGGGCTCCCCGAGAGCAGCTCACCGAAATAAACTCCTGGGGAGCTTGAACGATGTTTTGTGCTGTGTGGGTATATTGTGATTCAGGTAGACCTATACATTTCTATATAATTTTTTAGTTTTCTACAAAGTATAAAAAAATTCCTGAAATATTTTAGCTGTCAACTGCTGTAGCGATTCTGAAGTGATCTTTGACAGCTGAGAAATATATACAGTACCATTATTTCAGGAATTATTTTGCATTTCTATCTTCTATGTGATACATCAAACATATGTATATCTCAGTTTGCTGCATATTTTACAGGTTTTAGAATTACGAAATTTCGTTAAAAAGAACTAAAAAATAAAACTGTACACAGTGTCTCAGTGTTATACATACTATATATATATTGCTTTTATTAATGTTTGAATAAAAAAACTGCAAAAGTACATTTTCAGATTGATTTTTAAAAAGTAACGAAAAAGTAACGAAAAGTTATCTTTCGAGTAACCGTAACAGTAACGAGTTATTTTTAAAAAGTGATAACTAGTAACGCGCGCGATAATTCGTTACTTTTTTTACTCGATAACGAGTAACTTGTTAATTTTATAAAGTAACTTTCCATTTCACAAAATTCACACATAATTATATTATAATAAGCACTATGATCCAGCTATGACTATTATAGGCTGTCTTCTTTGTTTGTTTGTCAATTATACGGTCGCACAAATATTTTAATATTTGTCAATCATATAATTTTATTCATTTTATTAAACGTGATACAATTATTGGCTTAAAAATTATTTCAAGACTCTTCTTCATGTTTTAATTTAGTACAAATATTATAGGAATTTAATGAATCCAGTTTATTTATTATTATTAGGGCTGGACGTTCCATCTTCAGATAAACCGTATGATAATTTATTTAGTGGATAAATGAAAAAGTAAATGAGTAAAAGCCTAAGAGAGTAAGACAGTGACCTAAAATTTACCAAAAGGTGGAACGACCTTATCTATATTGTTTAAAATTACACTGAACTTTATTAAAATTCTCTTAGCCCCGGTTGCACCAACATTTTTTGATTTTAATTAAGCGATACTTAAAACTCTATCTATCTCGTTTTAAAGCCGCAAGGGAGACAGAGACAGAGACAGTTTAAGTTTCGCTTAAAATCGAAATCACGTTGGTGCAATCAGGCCTTAGATTAGAATTTAAATTAAAATTTCTATTAGGTTAATGCAAGCTTAGTATCAATTAATAAATGTTTATTATTGTACGTTGCAATGACATTACGTAAAACGTGGATAAAATGTGTACATTAAAAATATATTTAAATATTTTAGACATGAATACATTTGAATTTCTAAATAATTTGTTCTAAAATAAGTTCATAAATGATTCTTCATGATATCAGTTTTTCGTACAGATTTTAGCACGTTGAACTTTTGTTACACTGCATTTTACGTGCAAAAAGTTTGCTAATGCTAGTAACCCTTTCTTTTCTTCTTATCGTCCTATTTACAGCATCTCTTCAATTTTTTTTTATTTTTATAGATTGTACATACATACGAAGAAAAAATTATAGGATGCAATATACATATGAAGAAGAAAATTAAAAAATGCTGTTCTATAAATAGGAGAAGAAATAAGGGTTAAAAATCTCTATGATAAATAAAAGACTATTATAAATTCTTGATGAATTTGGAAACATTAAAATTAAAGTATTTTGATTAAAATTGGATCAGCGATATTTGGAGTATTTTGTAGTCATGTTCAACGTGCTGCGAAGGTGGACGTTCGAAATGCGAATTCCTTACATCTATTCAAAGACAAATAATCAACGCATACTAATTCGTGGCATTGTCTGAGTATTACGTAAGGCGTGTCCCAAAGGCCGTTACGTAATTAAATAAAATATATGTGTGTAAGATTGTGACGAGAAGTAGTAATCAACGCTTGCTTTAATAATATGTCATTGAAATGCTTTAATTGAGCCGCAATTGCGATGCAATTGTACGATTGTGCAATTAAATGATGTCCCATTCGTGGTAAGATGATCGTTTTGGACATCTTGCGACTTTCAAGATAAAAAATACAGGAATTCTTGGCACTTGATTCGCTCGCTTTGCTCGTAGCTCCGGTTCTTCACGGCCACTATATAAATTATGATCGCTATCGCTTACAGTTAAAACATGTTGCTATATTTCTTTAAGAATACGTTATTATCACTTCAAGTTAGAACACGTCGCGATACTATTAGCTTATTTCGTGTGGCGACGGGAATTCTTCGTCAGGACGATGCGCGCAATCTATTTATTTACAAATCTTCTAAAACGCTGAGAGACGTTTCTGTGGATGGCTAAAAGGCTGATGATTTTTTAATGAATCTAAATATCTTCTAGACAGTTTTCGAACGTACGTATTGTTTACTATTAAATTGACTAGGCACTTATTCATTTGCAAGAGGTTTGTGACGTTCTGTGAAAAAAAAAAGTGAAATATATATTCTAAAACTGCTAATTATCGTGCTGCTTCATGATCATCACACTTGTAGTTCACAGCCGGTTACATGTGTACAGAAACATTACTGACAACTGTCTTTCGAAATTCTTGTTAACAAAGATATTTTTGTGATCTGAGTATTTCCCTCATTGTATCTCGCTTCTTGACATTATTTTATCGTTATTTTTCAGTTTCGCGAGTCATCTCGAGTTATATAATACCATGAAGCAAGGCATTTAAATTGTTTTGACAGCACAGAGTACCCAATCCTCGTGTCTCATAATGAGAAAATCAGGGATTGTTAAAAGTTCTTTACGCCGTATGTTTGTGTATATGTGTATATGTGCATTTGTACTTGTGCGATGACTTTACTTCTACCTCAGATTTACGTTTCACTTAATCGAAACAATACGGTCTCTGTATCAAATATACAAAGAAGAAAGCTAACGCTAAGAGCAGCGATCCGCTCAAATCACCCAGTGCCGTTAAGTAGGGGATCGCCGAGTTGTCTGGGTCGGTTTTGCACCTCCACATCGCGTGAATGATTATGTGTGCCACGTACAACAGAAGCATTACCTGAAATAATTTGTGATTATGACTTTGTTTCTACAGTTCGCAAAATCGAAATAAAATATTTGAAATTGCGCGACTTACTTGCAATAAGGAAGCAGTTACATAAAAGAATACAAAGTATACATGTATCTTGCAATCGCCCGGGTTTAAAGCATTAGCGATGAAAACAAAGATCAATTGACCGGGGATGGCCATAGCGAGGAGCAATCTTGCGGTTTTGGCATATATTGCTATTTATAAAAAAGAAATTTTTTTAAATATCGGACATTAAACATTTATAATAAAAATTTTAATATTAAAGTAATTTCAGGAATTAGAAACGTGTTAATTCCAATTATTATTTTCTTTGTGGAGTTATACGTACATCCTACGAAAAGCGCGTCCCACGGTGTCACACAAATTTTGTCGTGTGGTGGTAGAATTCCCAGGATAGAAGTCTGGTGCAACATGGTTGACATTCGAGACGCTTGCACCGATACTAAGTTGCCGCCAATCCCATTAATGACTGATTGAAAGACTTCAGATCCTTTATAAAAGTCGATCATTCTCTCAAGAACTAATCCACCTCCGCTAAAAACAAGATATTAATAGATATAAAAAAATGCAATTACTAACATTGTATGTTAAACAAAATAATAATCGAATTGTAATTATAGTTTCACAAAAATATGTTATTAAACAAAATGACTGGGAATCGCAAAAACTTTGCGCGACTAATTAAATGTTAATAATGGCAAGATTATGTTAATTATAGAGCAAAAATGAAAATTGATAATGAATTAATAATATAATCGTGAGACAAAGAGATTGACTGGAATATTCGTGGACAAACGACTTGGAATAAAATTCTCTCAGAAAGCTAGATTAAATAAAATAAGCCAATTTGGCTATACTAACCCACTGATCATAAGAGCAGACAGAATGGGGACCCAGCCAGACTTTAATACTGTTCTCGTGTATTTGTTCTTCAGCACGATTATAATCCAAATCGGCAAAAGCACCAAGTACATTCCTATAACGATGTACAGTATCCATACTTGTGTGTATAGCCTTTTGTAAAATTCTGATGCAACGGTGGAGAGAATACTGATGGACACGACGTCACCGATAGACGCGGCTAGAGGAGTCGTCAGATTGTCTGGATTCATTTTGTATCTATAGGATATCATGATCACGGCGATCAGAACGAAATCTGTAAAGGAAAAATAATTTTCTAACAATTAAAAATTCGTTTCGTTGCATTTGTAATAAAGAATGTAAAAATGGATGTATGATATTATTAAACATAAAATTTAAGAAGAAGAACAAAAGTTTAACAGTTTAATAAATAGAAATTAAACAGAACGAGAAGATTACAATAAAAGAAAAACAACTACCTATAATTGAAAACAATTTATAATAATGTTACAAATACATAAAAAAGGAAAAAAGGAAGAAAAACGAATTTATACATTAAATTGATTTTACTGTTAAGGAAGCAACATTCTAATATCCTTAACGATTGTATGATTATATAATAATCTGACGCTTTGCATGGTAATGAAATACGAGAACCACATTCTATATTAGAAATGAAAATTAATCGTACATTATTTGAATCAGTAATTATTTCGAGCTTCATTAGAATATCGCGAACAAAAATAAACGCAAAATATTGATAAGTGATATAAATAAAAAATCAGAATACGATAATACACAAATATGTTTGTCTACAAAAAAATGGATTGTAATAATATAGTAACCTATATTTCTTATTTTTTAGATATGAGTATATGAGTACATACTATTTTTTTTTATTAAAAGCGTCTGAACGGAAACGTTTTTACAATACAAGAAAGAAACATAGGCCTTTCTATATATTCACGTAAACACATAACGCGTATATAAAAAGCATCATTTATGATCTCCGAGCATATCTTTATCATGTATGTTCTGCTATCATAAAAAGAGATAATCTGTTAATATAATGCGTGACTGAGTTGTAAGCTGCGATAGCAGATATTATTAATGCTAATTGCTGATAAGTGGCGAATGGATAGTTACTTCAAGGGAGTATCGATTTACGGGAGCTTAGCGCGTAAAAAGTGTGCATTAGTCGGTGTGTTTAATAAGCATATTAGTGAGAGAATGGCTTACCCAAGATAAAGCAGGAACTAGTCGCCGTGCACATACATGAAACCGTTAGCAGTACCGCGTGATTCCATTCGAAGTCGTTCCCATTGATCGCGCCTACCCCCATACCGAACAACGACAGACAAACAGCCGCGACGATCGCCTGGATTTGCACCAAGGCGACGTTTCCGACGATCATCTTGATAATCTCCCGACGGTTGTTCATGTTGCCTAAATTTGCTTGTGTGCATAACCGCGATGCCAAACACATGTCGAGATTGCCTTTCAGACCCTGCAGCGCTGTAGTTAAGATCATTAACTGAGGAACATCTTTAAAAGCGACCATATTCTGGAATCAGATACATTCAGATTAGAACATTTATATAGACCGATATTCTATGATATAGAAATAAATTTATCATTACTTTGATTGACATGTAAAGCCTAGAAGAATATCGCTACGTTGAGAGAAACGTAACACATAAAACATAATAAGTTACTTATTCTTATCTCATGATAAACATATTGTTGACAATTTGATTTGTCACCGTTTGTTTTAGAGAAGGAAATTTCAAAATATAATACTATGTGCACATGAAATTGTGATAAAACGTGATTATTTAGTTCTTAGTTAATCGAAAGATTAAGGATAAATTCTTTGATAATAACGTATATTACCGATCACCTGTAATCTTTGTCTGAAATCTACATGAGATCCGTATTAAAAATGTAAACGTCAAGGTGCTTATACAATCGCGTCAGATCGACATCGAATCCTACATCCCGCTATTAATAAAATGGATCGGAATAAATATTCAGGAGAATATTAATTTTGGCATTATCTTTGATAATAGTAAATTATTCTTCTATCTCTGTTTGTACAAGGATTGACATTTCTACTAAAAGATAACGTAAAGAAAAGATGAAAAGAAAAAGAAAAAAAAAGATTAGATTCTTCAGGGAAAGCTCTTACTTTCGCCATGGTGAGAACACGACCGGCGCCAATGGTTCCCAAACCAGCGATTAAGAAGGGTACTGACACTTGTAGAATCGTGTGATACCATTTTTCGTTTCTGATATTCTTGTTGCCTCCATGACCGCTTGGATTCCTATTACGTTCCGCGTCAGGATCCAAAACAGCTTCCGACGAAATCGTGATTATGGAACTGCCGCTGGAGAGAGATCCATTTCCATTTACTCCATCGGGCGTGCTCTTCTTGTCCATCTGACCGCCAGGTGTTTTTAAGCCGGCTGTCGACGCATCGGTACATGTTAAGTAAAATCCCACTCAACGGACAGTCGGGAATATTCAAGCGGAGTTCGCAATGAGTATCCTAAATAATTGGACCATTCTTTTGAGAGATACGATCGAGTTTTGTCGATTTATTTGAACAAATAATTACCGACTACGAGAGATTTCTGGGTTGATAATTTTTCTCTAAAAATAATGATAAAAATGAGCATTCATAAACTGACGAATTTATGAACTGACGTTGTATAACTCTTTTCCGCATTGTAATTAATTCGCGCAATTAAGACTCACTCGGCTGATTTTACGTGTGATTTAAGAGAGCAGGAAAGGCTCACTGATGACAGTCAGTCTCCTAGTAGCTGTCAATATTTCCGCGCGCCGTCATCCTCGTGTAAACAAACTCACGTTCTGTAAAGGTACGTAAACGACGCGAGACATTCACTGAACGCGTTTTCTTTCCGCGTCGATATTATAAACTGGCGCGAGTTTATAGTATCCTGAATTCCGACGACTGTAGAACGGTTAGGGGGTAAAAATTATCGGTAAATTACTTCGCGTCGTAATTGTTATAATCACTATTGTTGGTGTTGTGTGATTTTTTCTCACTATATCTGCGATTTGTCATCGTGGTGACAATTAATTCATTTCCTGTAAGTGTAAAGTAAACACGAATTCCGTAATGCAAAACGATAACGATCATGATGTCATTATCTGTCGTCAGAATTTTAAATGGTACCCGGTACATTCTGCTATAGCATAGCGCAAGTATATTTTATTGAGAAAATAAATCTTTCGTGTATATTCCGCAGATTCTACTTTTTGTTAATTGCGCAAAATTCGTCATGGCAGATAAATTCGTGCGTTATTCATGTAATTTTCACATTGATACGACATTGCAGTTAGTCTACATAAATATGCAGCTATTAATTCCGAAAGGTTATAATCCAATTTGATGACTTATTTTATACTTACACAATTTTTTTACGCAACCACAAATATACGAGAATAAAGATAACAACAGCGAGAATGGCGTCATATAAAGATAAGTAAATTTTAAATTTTAAATGTACGAAATTATCTTATACTCGAACTTTAACTTCCATCTTAAATATATATTTTTATACTCTTTCTTTATTTTTGCATCGGTTGAGACTAATCAATGCTCGAGTGACAAAAAGAGTAAAATTTTTAGAGTACGTCTTATGAGACGTACTGGAGTTGATACTATGTTTTAATTCTATTCAAATAAATTCAAACTTCAATGCCACAGACTCAAGGTTTGCCCGGATGTAGTAAAGATTGCATATCTTCATTTGCGGCGATCGAAACCAATCGATACCATTATTGACGTAAGAATTTATTATATATTACATAAGATGTAATAATTTATAATGTCTAAACCGAACGCTTTTCCTATGTAAATTTTCCAGCGACTTTTATCTTTTCTTGTTAATGTTGTGCAAGACTTTCGGTATTATCATTTGATCGCATGAACATAGATGCATGCATGATTTCGTGCGTTAATCTCGCATAACTTTTCTTACCGACGATTTTCTTCACAAAAACAGGTTCCGGATTGATGTCCACATTCTGCTTATTGTCATTGCTTTTGTCGGTATTGTCGAATTTCAGGTCATAGTTGTCCTTGTCGTTCGGCATTGTTACACGAGGTATAGTGAAAACTTGGTCTCTGACTCTTCCAACGTTAGTGGTGGTGTTCGCTAGACTAACATTGTTGTTTCGATTGTTGTCTATCGGTACGAGGCCACTGCCATTCATCAACGTCGGTTCAATCTCTGAGTCCGGAAAAGCGACCATATCTGAAAGGCAAGGGTCCAATTGAGCAAAAGGCTCATTCCGATCTTTATTTGAGCTCTTCGAGAAATCCATGATTTAGGTTTGAAAAGTTGAGAATCACTTAAATAGCGTAATAGTTTCTGTATTTAAATCTTTTCTCAATTGTAATGTATTAGTTTAAAACACTTGATAATTAATGGAATTGGATTAGTATATACATGTTATAATTACTGGTGAATTATAATAATTTATTATAAAATTGATGAAAATTAACAGTTTATAATAATGTAAGATGCAATTACAAAATTAACATATGTATTACACATGAAACTCTATTTTTTATTGTTGCGTTCATATTTTTAAAACGGTTGATTTGTCTTCGATAAGACGCACAAAACTGGGCGACTATGCACAACTGAAAAGTATGGAAATTAATTCGCCAATAGAAAATAAATTTTAAGTCTGAAGGAGATACATTTAAAGAAGCTCGAGTTATCACTGTATTTATAATAAGTATTTACGAAAGTGTTATTATCTAAAACAAGACGAAATTTGCACAATTTTGAACGCAGCCAAATATCGGAATTCCGCAAAGGATTTTTAATGATTTTTTTTCTTAATGCATTTATTATATAAAATTTAATATATATACACATACCGAATTCGCTGTTGGCCTACGGTGTTGCAATAAATGCCTGTTCGGCAGACTTTAGGATCAACTTGCGATAATCTCACGTCGGATCTGCCTGTTTCTGCAATTTTCAACCTGTAAAAATAGATAATACGCAACTGTACGTAAAAGATCATCCAGGAAAACTGATTGTCGTTATTGTCAGGTAATCAAATGATTTGCGCGAGTTATCGACAACTCGTGTATTAACGATTTTAACACCGTTATCGCACGAGGCTTATCACGATTCACGGCTATTGAAGTCATCGTAATTGCATATCTTCTAGTCGAGACCATCGCGCTTATCGATTAGAGGAAAAAAAGCCGATTAACACAACGGGAGTATAAAAATGTAAAGACAAGAGAAACAGGAGGTCAGGAATCTCAGAATCGCGATTACGCAAACGCATCGTTTACACACTCTGTGAAACGCGAACTAGATACTGCAAAATTTTTTTGAGTTTGAATCCGATCCGCGTTTAGAGAATGGAAACTCGAAACTCACATTCGCTCATCGAGAGGCATTCGCGAGCGTGAATTAAAATCGATAGTTTTATATAGGTATACCTAATTGTTTGGCGACACCGGACGCGTAATTCGTAACAAACGAGAATGTTCACCAAACAGAAGCAGTCGATACCTAATCGCGACCAAGATGGTTTATGTGTTTTCGTACAATATGAGTTATGAGTCGTCTGTAAAAATAGTCACAAGTTTATCATTAGTACGTGTTTCTACCTGTTGAAACTGTTAGACATTGCGATACGTGGAGTTAAGTTAAAAATCTTGTAATAAGTAATCAGATATTTGAAACAGAAATTCTGTAACAAGGAACAAGAGCAATTATTATTCATCAATTCATATTTCTTTGTTTACAATGTTTATATTTCAATTTAAGTAACAAATATAAATATTCGTACACCAAGTGAGATAGAATAATGACTTTTAAAAGGTATATTTTAGTAAAAATGATGTATTTTTATCCACGTACAAAAGTTTCATATATCACATTTCTTTTGTTTTATTTATTTCGTTTTTTTCACATATTTCGCAATAAAAAATATATAATTTCAGCAAGAATGGCATTTTTTCTTCACATATAAAAGCTTCATATATCACATTTTTTTTGTTTTATTTATTTCGTTTCTTTAACATATTTCGCCAAAAAAAGAAAAAAGGATTCTGCTCTGTTCGAGTCTTTAGCAGTGCTTAACCTATTAAACGCATTGCTGCTTATCAGATATTTTTTAATAGCAAGCTGAAGTAGCTGAAGTAGTCTTCCTTTATAAAGCATCATTGATATTTCTTAATAGTTCGTCACCGGTAATTGATAGCGGTAATCATGAATAGTCAAGTCGTTGCTCCGACTAGAGGGCTCGGTGCTCCTGACACTTCGTGTAACGCAATATGCAGAATCAGCGTCGCGATTAATCTGATCATACGTTTGGGGTGATAGAAGCAACCAAAGCTCTCTCTCTCGCGTCGTGACTTAATCTGATCGCACGTGTCACGGGAACTGAATTACGCTTGCGTTTGCGGAAAAGGGACGCGTGCGTCTTTTGCTACGTCTGCCTACAGTTTATAGCTTTCGATTCGCAAAAATCTGGGAGAAGTCTGATTTAGATTATGCCAAATAAATCACGCGGACTATTGATGACGGTTTACTTTTTGAGATAATTGTCAATTAAGGATTAACGAAGGGATAAATTATAAAGGTAAAATAATAGAACAAAAGAAATAATAGGTAACGTAAAATACGATAATAATCAATGCTATTAAACTAGGAAATTTGATCTTTATATTTCTAATATATATGTGTCAAATTTAATTTAATGAACAAATGAATGAACAAAACGATAATTATCAGTTAATTTTAATAAATTGTTTAATTAACATTAATTATTATATTTATTATAACTTTAATTTCATAACCGACAAAATAAGTAATCGGTGATCACAAAATTCAATTTGATAGATCGCTATTCCTAATATAATTTTGTTTTAACGCATATGTATATGTATATTCCTATATTTAATCGTAACTTTTTATTTATTTCTGTTTCTTTAATTCGTATAGGCACCATACGGAATTTGATGTTATAACTATGCAAAGTGATTCAAACTTTGCGTGCTTCATCTTGCATTTTGATTGGAGATATAATTATCGATAATTTTAAAAATTATTATATTAAGAGAGAGAGAGGATATTTTGATACAATACCTATATTATATTATAATTTTATCTGATATAATTCTCGCGACAGAGCAAACGGTATTCGTGTAAACAGATAAATAATATTCTTTTACTTTAGACTTTGCTCAAGATTAATTGCGTGCTGAAAATTGTGCGGTATCGTACAAGATAATCATTTCGTACGTGTATTCTGCAGAAAAATTTTTCGTTATTCGAAATTTGTAAACAATTTCTTCATCTTGACATATTCCTTCGTAAAGCCATTAATAATAATTACTCAGCAAGGCACATTATTGCGACAGAGTATAGTTGCATTTGTATTTTGAAAAATATACTTTAAACTTTTTGAAAATTAAATTTTACTTGTCTTAACTTTTAAGAATTATCTCAACTACAGTATTTATTTAATTTTTGTATCTACTTGCGTTTTTAAAAATGAACTTTGAAGGAGTCACAAATTGTATACGTCCTAATTTACGCAATTTCGTTCGTTTTATATTTATTTCAAATTCATCGATATCTCTGATATTTCTTTTTGTATGTTAAACTGATTAAATAATTCAGCCATTTGATTTTTGCTGTACATAAAGATTCGCGGGCACTTTGTGGGGGTCAAGTTTAGTTGAATTTTTCAGGGTAAAAGCAGAAAATCTCTCGGTTTTACTTATCAGTAATCAATCATACACACACCTATCTGACCGTTGGGACTTCGTGATAATTCAACAACAAAGCTCTCGGGATTATACCAATTATTGATAAAAAAAAATAAAAATTATCCAGATATATAGTAATTTGTTACTTACGCAGAAAGCTCACATCGAATTTGCGCCAGCGTGTCGAAGTTCACTGATGAAACGCTTGTTTTTGGAGAATTCGTCGACGTTGAGGATGGTATCAGTAACCTGGACGATGGTCTTGGTACCAATTCGTGAGCGAATGTTTTGCGGTCTTGAAGTTCTATGAGAATTCTTCCGCGAGAGTTCTTCCGTGAAGCAGCTCGCGACAGGTTCGAATACTCCGTTGGGATTTCCAGCGTTGTTAAGTGTCGTGCACTTAATTAAGAAAAGTTTAGTTAGCGCGCGTTTGATTTAGTTGGATCGCGTGGAGGTGTCCGCGTGTCGCGCACGGTTCGGCTTGACTGATAAAAGGAAACCGCAGTTCGATTGTCAGTAGGTGTACTCCTACTCGTCCTCGTCCGGGCGCTCGTACGTCTACCTCGTTGTGTCGACGTATGCCATGCACGTGCGCTATCTCGTTGGCGATAGGTGGGAGCCCGATACTAAGGCGAATCGCGTGTGCTTAAAGATCGATTCGCGAGTGACTCGGAAATTTAGACTTCCCCGCCTGACCTTTATACGAAGGATTACCGACTGGAGTGTCATTAAGAATTACGGGATTTACGTTGAGATGCATTTACGCAATCTACGGAATCCACATTATTTCTTCTGAGAAAAAAGATATACAATGGATGTTTAACACGTTATTTGCCTAGCGATTTTTGTGTGTCTTATCGTGTATGCTAAACTATCGTTATCATATAATGATAAATTATTATGTAATATATACCTTTATGGGGCCTATATTACGTCATTAAAAATCTTATATTAAATTTACTTATTGCAAACGTTAACTTTTATAAGTACTTGAAAAATTTGCCGTCTGTTACTATAGTGCTCATTATGGCAGCCAACGTGTTAAAGTAGAATTTTCCCATGTTGCGAGATATTAGCGCTCTAATTTTGCTCAATAAAAAGCATCGATGAAAGGATTATTGATTCCTAAAGTGAACTATTCATTCAAATCTCGACGGTAGTTTATCCATAAAATTTGTTAAAACCTCCAGTTTGGAGTGATTTATAGTTTATAAAAGTTCTTCAAAATTAGTACAAGCGATATCATAATAATTCAGTAATATGTTACTGTGGTTTCTGAATGAAGTTTTATTCTAATAATGAATTTAAAATCGACTGATGATTAAGCATAAAATGCGATTTCATAATAGAAGTTAAAAATAGAAGAAAACTGATTGCTGTATACAATTAATAAACTAAAACCTTGTCAGACACATTAACAGAGTATTAGGAATATTATCGATAAATTATAATCGCTTAAACATACAGTTTTCTGCTTCATTGATGAGTAATGTAAAGTCAATTAGATTTAGTATCAAGACTTAGATCGCGCACTATTATTCAATCAATTACTTGGACATGCAAATCACTCATTGGTATTCCTTTCGCTGACAAATCTCATTCTTAAAAGATACGAATGCACATGTACGAGGCCTTTAAGTTTTACAAGCATTTAACCTTTCAAATTATTTTATAGGAAGATCCTTGTTGTAAACCTTCGGCTTATAAAAGAAAAATTTCCTTCAACGAAAACAGATGGAATAAACATACTGTCGATAACTTACATGCTTGACATGCTTGAATCGCGTGTCTTTAATTATCTTTTACCGATACCGAATGCCGAGCGCGTAAACCTTTTATTACTCCGACTACGAAAGGCGTTGATGGTTACTATTTAAGTGTGACGTAAGCGTTTGCGTCACGTGAATCATTAATCAAATTTTAGGATATTTACTTTGAGGCAGCCGTCAATGCGAAAAGTAAGTAACTCATCGATTTGCGAACTGTTGTATACGCGACGTGAGGTAATATTTTTAAGAACGCGAAATAAATAAAAATACTCACCTCTTTCTTTGCTTTGCTTTGTTGAAGTTTCAAGTAGAGAATTTTCAGCTGCGATGTAGCTAGTACGAAAGTCAAACGAAAACTGAAGCTTAGTCCAGGTTTATTGAGAAGAATGTAATGTAAATAAGATTTATTGATAAATTAATTGCTAACCATTGTATTTAGAATCCTAAGCTTCTTCTTTTTCCAAAAAGAAAGCCTTTTCTGAAAGCGAAAATGTAATAATAATAAAAAGGTTGACATTTGTAAGATATATTGATTCGATTTTCAGAAGAAAAGACTAGAATCTTTTCTTTCTTTGACGTATATACACAATACATAGCAGGGGTGCTACGATTTCTTTTAAGAAAAGTTATATGTTTAGAAAAGTATAATTGCTTTTATTTAATAAGAAAATATACTTTTTGGCTGTGTACTATACATATATGTTCTTGTAATAATTTCTTGTTTCCGCAAAGTAAATTTTCTGTCGAATTTTAAGAAAAAATATTTTGCCATTAAAAATTATCAATATTGAAAAAGTTAATTTTTTTTTCACTACAAATATGAGCACTTTAAAAGATTGCTATTTAAAGGACTTTAAATCATAAACATCTTTAATGTTATTTTAAACTTTTTAATTTTTGCCTTTTGAACACACATACACGCGCGTTTGTGTGAATGTAGTCATGACCTATAGTACCATTTTATATGCAAAGAAAATTCTCTTTTACCATATTTAACCCATGATATATAGTTTTATTTCGTTCCATTTAGGAAACTGATTTTCTTTCATCTTCGAATAAAAGAGTAAAAGTGCGGAAGAGAGTAAGACTGTATGCTGAAGTTTACCGAAAGGTAGACAAATCAGGTAAAAAAAAAGGTAGCACAAGCCTTAATCTCGTACAATTTAAATAATTTTTCAATGAAATATGAAAGAGAGGGCCGAAATATTTTTCAAACATTATATACTTTTAGAAAAAAATTAATTTTCTTTACCTTTTGAAATAAAGAAAGAGAGAGAGAGAGAGAGAGAGAGAAAGGGATATTTAATTCTTTAATTAAGAGGAATTTTTGGAAGCATTATTTGAAGTCATTAAAATTGTAAATAAAATGCATGCACATATACATAAAAACATGTTATAAATATATATATAACCTTGTGCAAAAGTATTAGGCACCCTTATTATTATTATTATATCGGACATGCGTTCTTAAAATTTGTTCTTTTGTCAGTAATTTGTTGGATAGTATATTTACTCTAAAATGTAAACACAGATATAGTTTCGATGAAGTAATAAATGATAGAGGGCATCAATATAATAATATGAGAATATTTGTATTTTTCAATGAAGTATTATTCTATTGTCGGTGCTCGTAGTGAAAATATATACATCTATTTTATATTCTACTGCTCACATTTTTGAAAGTTGAGTTCTTTTCTGTAAATAATGCCTAAAAGATGCACAACAGCGCTTGTTGATTCAATTCTTACACAAACAGGGAAAATTTCAATTTGAAATAGTCTGAAAAGTTAAATGTTTGCGTGGACCTATTAAATACTGATAATAAACTGATAATACTAATAATATTAATGAAATGTTAAAATGTTGCACGTCATTTTGTACATAAGTTTACGTTAACTTTAAATCTGCTCGTTAATCAAACGATATGTACGAATCCCATTCTTCCGTGTATAGGTATGTCCCATGAATATTGTATCGCTCGCAACGTCTGCAACGCGATCGGTAAACTAAACACGTAAACATGGGTTTACGCAAGAACTCACGATTATCTCGTGACCGTCAAAACGGGGAAACACCGTGTCCAAGTATCATAGAAACGATCATAGATCGTCTTCTTGCATTATTATACACCGGCGATTACGTTTATGTCGTCATCCAGCGATAATTTTGGTCTGCGAATTGTCATTAATGAAAATTACCTGTTAAGTTTAAAAACTGACAATTTTGACAATTGGCAACTATGTATTTTAATCAGAACTAAGAAATGCAGATTTAAGAAAAATCATTCTTGTAATGTGACGTATTTGCGAATCGCTTTTTTGTAAGAGCAATATTGGTCAAAATTTTGGATTATTATTGATAATTTTGACATTAATGTGATTACTAATAATAATAGATTTTAATTATTGTTAAGAGTTAACTTTTTATTTTCTTATTTGTCTTAATTTTTTGTTGAAGTTTGATGAAAAATACATCTTGAGAAACTAAGAATTTTATTGTTGAGGGAAATACATATACGTCGGAAAAAATTAAATTTTTAGAAATTCTGGAAATCCCTCTTTGAAGGAAAATCCCTCGATTAAATGTCAATTTCTGTCATATAATAAAATATTAAATGATAAAATTTTTTCTCGCTAATAATGCATAGTGAAATTATTTTAAATTGCTTATAAATTGATTTAATTGCATATATGTCTCCAAGAAAAAATTACTCCTTTTCTTAAATTAAAAAGCATGACAAGCTGTTTACGTATTGCAAGCATTTTGAATTAATGAGAGTGGTGGCTTCACTTATAAGATATATATGAATATTTGAGATAAAGTTACACACATACACTCCAAGCCAAAAGTTTGGATACACTGCTCTGAGTAGCATTAAAATGTGCTTGAATGAAATTTTTCGCTTCTATAGTAGCCTGAACTTGACAGGTGCTACAAGATTTCTGGACATCCCTGTCACAAAAAACACTAAGAGCCGATTGTTCCATCTTTTCCTTTTGGTAAAGTTTACCTGTTAGGTAAGTAGTAAGATTGTTCAAGATTGTGCGCGGATTGCCAGATTTACGTATAGCAGGTAAACTTTACCGAAAGATGGAACGATCGGCCCTAAATAAGCAGCTTGTCGCCAGAATGTCACAACTTGTAAATACGGTCCTGAAAGCTAAGTGGTTTTTTCGATGAAAACAATGTTTAAGATTTATGTTGAACACACTGTAAATATTTCTTCTTTTGTTAATTTAGTTAATAATTTTAGATTATTTTGAATTTAATGTAACAATATTTCTTCTAATAAAATATTTTTTTATAACAATTTATCACGTTTTTGTTAAGTGCATCCAAACTTTTGGTCTGGAGTGTATGTCAAAATAAGAGATTGGTAACAAATGATGGAGATGATATTGGTGTTATCTGAAATCTATAAACTC